CCGGTACGGAAAACCCTGCCGATTGTCTATCCCGTGGACTTACCCCGATGCAAATAATGGACCCCCCGCTTTGGTTCCACGGCCCTTCTTGGGTTCACTTGGGTCCCTCGCAATGGCCAATAACCGATTTCGAACCTTCGTCAGTGTCACAACCGCCGGAAGAGAATAGACACGCTCTAGTGGCGAACGTTTCGAGCGAGGTTTCTCCAATCATTGCTTTGGCGAACCGCTTGTCCTCTTGGTCGAAATTATTGCGTAGCGTAATTTACGTTTGTCGATTCGCGAAGCTTTTACCGCGACGTTCGTATGTCTTAGCGTCCGATTACGACTATGCCGAGTCGCTAGTATTGCGTGAACTTCAACGTGCGCATTTCTCGGAATAAATTACAAGATTACAGTCGAATAGAGCTTGTAGTCGCGCCTTTCAACGCCTTAAGCCATTTTTACAGGATGGGATTGTAAGGGTAGGTGGACGATTGTCTAACGCGAGTTGAGTTTCGACCAACGGCACCCTATAGTTTTACCGCGTAAAGACCATAATATCATAAATTTATTAGTCGATTACCATCATAAATTGAATTCGCACGCTGGCCCCAACTTGCTGCTTGATGTCGATCTTGCGTCAGAATTATTGGATTCTTTCTGCACGTAGTTTAATAGGAACTGTGGTTGTGCTCACCAAAGAGAATACGCCGCCTCTCCATTGGCCGTTAGGAATTGTCGAAGAGGTCTTTCCCGCTTCCGACGGAGTAATTAGGGTAGCTCGCGTTAAGACCACGGTTGGGTCTTACCTACGTCCTGTTGTCCGTTTGTGCCCCTTGCCTCTTCCAAAATTTAAATTAGCTTTCTAGATTAGAAATTGTAGTTGAATTTAGGTAATCTTAGCGTTAGTTAGTTATTTGTTAGTTGATCTTAGCTCTAATTGTTTTAGTTATTTTTTGAAGGAGATCCTTCAAGGGCGGGGGAGATGGTTGCGCGGAAAACCATTCGTATTTTATTTATATTTGACGGTAGGCTTGCCAAATCGTTTATCCCTTTCCAAACGATATCATTCATACCCTCCTATCGACACATCGGGGTGGTGGGGTGGGAGGGGTAAGAAGGTGATTCTAGAATATTACGCGATCATCGCAACCGAAGGAATAAAAAGGCACGCGCGGCCGACGCGCACTCTCTTCCCGCCGCGCTCGTTGTTGGAACCACACCGCCACTCTTCCCGCCGCGCTTGTCGTTGGAACCACACCGCACTCTCTCCCGACGTATCACCGGACAAGAAAGGCTGGGGCCCCAGAGAGTCTACCCAGAGTGTCTTCCAGAAGTCGCAGCGTAGCAACAAGTAGTGCCCAAGCCGCATAGAAGCAACACCCCGGTGAGTGAACATTCCTACTAGTTCCTGCTTGATATAATTGTGTTTAATAGTTAATCCGCTCCAATTTTCATTTTCTCCTAATCAAGCAGGATTCCTGTCATAGATTTTGCAAATAATAGTTCGTTTTAGGGAAGAGCGAGTGCATTGTATGGGAAAACGCGTGCTATAGTCGCCAATTTATGTAAACGTAGAAGCATTTCGTATATACAGTCCAATATCAAGGTTAATATCTCGCGTAATAGGTTTAAGGTTCGACCGGGGAATTAGACTTCGGTAACCTTAGGCTCGTCGCTCCACCATTTTACTTTACTAAGCATATGAAACCATTTACCGATGCAGAAATTGTTAAGGAACGCTTTGTTAGTTATATATTTTTTGATAAATTCAGTAACAAAAAGCAAATACTATCTTCTCATATTAAAATAAAACTACATTTCTAGGATTCAACCTGTATAAGGCGTATTAGTTAACTAAAGAAAGCAAAATGCAAATTTTTTAACTTGGCATTCGATTCCAGCACCGACATTTCAGCAACATCGCAATGCTCGGTGTTTTTTAGATATTGTACAGAAAATAATTTAATACAGGATTTTTTTTTTGAAATTCCTACCAATGAAACGTCAAACCCGAGACACGGATTACTTTGATACCATTTGCAATTTTTTAGAGCAGAATGAAATAGACATACCAAAATCGTACGTCGATGGTTGTCCTTCAATGACTGGATGTTTTTATTTATTTTAAGAAAAAATGTAGTTTAACTAATTTGATATCATTTTATTGCATTATCCACCAATAAAACTTGGCAGCGCGTGTTGTAAATCCAGAAATAGAGGCTGTAATGAAGACAGTTATCAATATTGTCAATTATATACCAGCCAGAAAATTGAACCACGGAAGATGTAAAAGCCTTTTGGAAGAACTGGTATGTCAGTATAACGACGTCCTTTTAAATACCTCGGTGCAATAGCTTAGTAGAGGAAAAGTTTTGGAAAGCTTTTTTTTTACGCCATGAAGTAATAGTGTTTTTACAGCAAAATAATAAAGTATACCATGATTTACAAAATGATTAATTGTGGTGTATTATTATTAGCCTTTCTATGTGATGTTACGGAAAAACTCAATAATCTCAAGCGGAGCTTACAACGTGAAAATAATATAGCCTCCAATGTGGCAAATAAAGTATTTGCATTTGAGGAAAAGTTAAGCATTTATCATGAAGAAATACAGAACAAAAAGAAATTTTCAAACTATCATAAAAACTACAGACGACGGTACCAATATTTCGGAAGAAAACTGCTCCATAATAGCAAATTATTTAACTGCACTTTTATACGAATTTTTAAAAAGATTCCAAGATCTAAGAAAAAATATTGTTATCTATAGCAAAACCATGGCATTTAGAAATAACGAATATCTCAGAGTTGACTTCAGTTTTAAATTGTAATTGCTCAGAGTTTATGATGAATTCAAAGATTTTAAAAACGACACCAATGAACAAGTTTTGTTTATATAAAAACGGGCAAACAGCGAATAATATGTGGAATTTTGGAGTATTGTTCCCCAAAATTATAAAAGCGTCCAATAATCCCCATTACTACTGACATTCTTCGGGTCTACATAAGTGTGCGAATCGTTTTTTTTCAAAAATGGAATACTCAATGAACGTGTACAGAAATAAACCTACGGAATCTCATCTGGATGATGTAATAAGGATAGCATGTAGCGATAAGCCAGATCTTGAAAAAGATTTAAAAAAGTGTTCACAGTATCAAAAATCGCATTAAAATATATAAACATCTTTGTTAAAACTTCTTTTTTCATTAATGAAGTAAATAAATCGTTAACTTGGAATTACGTTTTAATTAAGACCCTAACCCTCGACACCATGACTGAAACGTGATCATGGCCCCTGCAAAACAAAAGGCCAATATCGTGCAAAATGGAAATCCATTGTCTCTACCTACCCCTCTAAGTGACACGCGTAAGAGTTAATATGTTTAAGTTATTATATATAAAGCTTGTCGGTAAAATACTAATTATTTTCAATTTGTGATGCCTGTTGAAGAACTTCAAATTTCACATGTTAATGAAATACTCTCTCTGACACGAACATACCTAAGTTTCCACACATTTCACATTCCACTCAGAGCACGTGGTTAAACGCCGCTCACACCAATACATTTGATAATTCATCATCATTACCATACAGCCTATCACAATTTAACTGCTGAATTAAAGCCTCCCTTAGGAAATGCGGCATTCTGCACGATTCTAAGCCACCTGAATTCACCGACTTCTTTCGTCTTCCAAGGTTGTCACTCCGTCGAGTGAGGAGGCAGCCCTACAATTCGATTGCTGGTACGAGGTTGCCACGCAAGAACTATTCTTCTCCGTCGGTTGACGGTTCTTCGAGCTAAATTACCAGCTCATTGCCACTTTTGCTTACTGTTTCGTTGGGCCATGTCGGTTACTCTGGTTCTTTTAGCCGTCATCCTCGTAACTCCGAAGACTACGAACATAACCCTCTTTATAGCTCGTTGATCTTCCCCATTATGGGGACTCCTATATTCAGCAGTGGATTTGACAGACAATAATAAATAAAGGACCAGGAATAAAAGCCAACAATAAAAATCAAAACATTTATTGTGCTTAAAACATTAAACTATGGGTGCGTTTGGCAGAAAAAAGCGCTAGCAAGCACTTACAAGCGCTGAAATAGTTTTCGGCCAGGACACGATTACTACTTCAGTAGCGCTGACACAATCCGCCATTTTGCTTATTTAATTTGTTTGTTTTGAAGTAGAGTTTTTAAGTTGTTTTGTGCAATATTAGTTTTAAGTAATATAATAACGTGAATAAACACATACATGTTATTAAAAATTCATGATTGGTAAGTTTTTAATATAAATACTTTACAAACATATATTTAAATTAGGTTAGGTTCCCCGGTTAAAACTAACATCGTGTCCTGGAGGAAAATAGCTACTTACGATTTGACAGCGCTTACCGCTTACGATCGCCATTTTGCTTACAAGCGCTTGCTAGCGCTTTTTTCTGCCAAACGCACCCAATGTGAAACAAATTTATTGTTCAAATTTGTAACCAAGTTATAGAATTTTACACAATCAGAATCATAAATTGAAATTATTATATATTAATAAATATTATTATCATGCATCAGCATATCATTTAAAAACAATAAACTGTTATTACTATTAACGAAATATCTATAAAACTTAACATAAAGAAGAATATCTTTTAATATATAATACATTGATATATGAAGTAAATTGTAGGCCGTTGAACGTTGAAGGGTCCATTCTAGGGAAATATTACATCAGTCCTTGTATACAACAATGTGACCTAGAAACAACTTAACTAACTGAGAAACTAAACCTCCTGCAAAAGAAAATCTGTTCACCCACTAACGCGCCAAATCGCAAATTTCCAATATCCACTCTCTTCAATTTTACTACATTTCTTTTATTTTATCTTTTTTAACAAAGTCTAGCACGGCTTGCATGTCTTCACGCAGCAAGGTCACCATGGTTCTTTTCTGCCTACAATCATCTTGAATAAGCCTGGAAGCGCGCTCTTTTAGATCTTCCAAAAAATGCTCATCCATTTCTTATGACCTGGTTTAAAAACAAAATATAAATAAAAACAAATTATCGAGAACTTTACAATTATTTTATTACAACACGTAACATATCATCGATTCCTAAGATTTTTAATATAGGTAATTTTTTATCCCAAAAATAATTAAAACTACGTAAATTACAGTCACACTAACTCTGTACTGACTTTTAAGAGTGCAGTTTTATTTGTATTATTACTAATTCGGTCACTCAATAAAAATAAAGAAAAATCAACTGTATTTCAAGCATTTTAAAGTCTGCGTTCGTGGATTTATACCGTGACCACAACATTCTTCCGGAATTAGTATAACTAATTTGATAAATAATCAGTGCATAAAAATGTTTAACTAAAAATTCGGTGTATGTATTATGATTATAACATAATATACTAATTGGGGTGTATGAGGGTGTGCGTTAATTACGTTACATATTGTATATTTGTATTTTATTCCATTAATTTTATCCAATTTATCCCCTCATTTAGCGTAGCTTTATGAGTGGATAAAATTGGATAAAATTAAATTTCACAGTATGCGAGCTACTAGAATTGCATCCATGTCGGTTACAAAAAATTGTTAATTGCAGTTTTAGGGTATTGTGTAAATTGCTATCTGGACTAGAGTAAAAACACGACTACTAGTTGCATTTTGCAAATTGGCAGTGCATCAGAATGCACATATGACCAATCATCTTGCGCCTGATCACTCACGCAAGTGCGAGAGGTTATGTGGCCAATAAATAATCATTCAGTCTAGATGTTTGTCCACGTCCAAGTTATTTATTTATGTAAAACAACTCGATAGGGACGACAACCCTAGTGCGGGGTAACCTTAAATGAATTATGTACCCATATACTCTTATGTGATGTTTACTTTTTAATTTTATATTTGTATTCTTCTTGTTCCCTCTCTGCAAGAGCACGGATGAATCGCAGCTGCGTCGTGACTCGTGATGCGTTACGCTACTTTGTGGGGCAGTTTTGAATTATCTCAATAAAATGTGTGTCTTTTTGAGTAGCAAATAAAGCTATATTTTGTATCACTATCTTAAAAAGTGCAGGCCGTGTAGCGTCGTGTCATGTCTCACACTGACCCTTTATATAGTTAAATTATTTGAATGAACTTTTATCCTCCATTTTCCCCACACTTAGGGGTGGAGGTTTCCTTCCAAATTTATATGAGACCATGCCTATGGTAATGACCTATTAAATAAGAAAAGCATCATTAAAATCGGGCAACAATTGATGAAGATATCAAGTTACATAGATAAAAAAGAACATACACTCGATTCGATATCATTCTCCTTTTTTGAAATCGATAAAAATGGACTGCAAGCTCGAAAACTGAGGGTTCGAATCCACACTTCGACTACTTTGTAAACAGCTCCTAACAAAAGCACTTTCAGTTAACTTGGGAGCGGTTAACTAGTATTGTTGAAAGCGTTACTAGTGTTCTCTTTAAGGAAACGTAAAACCGTGGACAAAAATAGTTTTATTAAAATAGTGATGTACATTGTGTAAATATTAGAAAGGAGTACAAGTTAGTTATAGCAGTTACTCGACTTTAAAGAGTCGGTAATTCCTTCCTGGGGCAATGTACGCTTTTACAACAAAGTCCCATAAAATATGCAGACTTTATCTATCAAAAGGTTCAAAATATTTATGAAGCAAATATTGTTTAGTAAGGGCTGTTAATTGTTACAGTACTCATACATGATAGTAACCCCCGGGAATTAAGTGATCGCTGCCACGCTGTTTCTAAATGTTTTCATAACAATTGTATAAAAAAAATACGTGTGGCACTCGGGGACTGCCACGGTAAAGCTATTGCATAGCACTTTTATCAACTTATGCAATTATAATTCTTTATTTATTTACTTATGTAGTATTTTTTGTTTGTCAGCAAAAATGTTTGCTCCATGCGAGAATCGAATCCGTGATCTGCGATGCTGCATTCGGGTGGTTCATTCACTGTGCCAAACATGCCATCAAAAATATTATATAAATTTAAAAAATAATTTAATTATAAAGTCTGTGTTTATTAAATAATCTAAATTCACGAAAGTTGCTAGCATGACGACGACTCATATAAATCCAAAGAATATGCTTCTTGCAATAAACTATATTATTGTTACGCATACGTCTAGTCGCACAAACACCGTGGCGAAGTATGCCAAACTGAACCGACGTTAGACGATGCAATAGCTTAATTATATTGTAAGTTATGCTTTTAAAAAAAGTCCCGTTGGGTTTCTTGCTGGTTTCGTTTTCCCAGGACAGAGGTTTTTTCTCCACCAGCGGTAATTGTAAAAATGACTTTCAATAAGAATAACATGTGATCTATAATGAATAAAAATGATTCTATTCTATTCTATTATATTCTATTCATGTGATTATTTAAAATATACGTAGTATAAACAGTCAAATAATTCACCTTATATCCAGTGCCGAGAATTTGACAACGATCAGCTCAACTATGTCGTTGAGCAAACCGGTAACGGCTTGCTTGTTTTGAGTACGACGTTGGTCTTTCAGCTCAGGGCTCAGCTTCAGGTCTTGGAGCTGTTTCTGCGGTTCCACCAAGAATTTTATGAATCTAAAACAATAATTGTTCCAATTATTGACGTAGATAGGGATATAAAACGGGGTACAAATGTTTGTCCTTGTAAAATTTATGTATCTCAGCTGCCCAGGATACAGGAGAAAATCCTAGTGTGGGGGTAACGTTTAAAAAAATACAGAACATTGAATAAAACAAATAAAAAATTTACTCTGTAAAATCTGTGTTAAAAATTAACAAGGACACAATGAATTAAATGGCAGTGCAATGGGTGGTCTTATCACTTATGAAGATGTCAGGGCTGCAAGAAATTTAAAATAGATTTTTAACGGTCTATTGCTGTCGCGCTGGCCTATGGGATGTCTTAGGAGGAGAATATATAAAATGTATGTAAAATTATGGCCTCTGGTAGATAGCGTTAAGCGAGTAACTATCTCATATATATCAGATATGACATTCTTAGTCCGTTGAATGGCAGCAGCGTATGATTTCTTTGAACAAATACCTTGATAACCTATAATCCCTATCAGAAAATAAAAAGAAAAGATAAAATACGCCTTATGTCTGGGTTCTATATTTACAAAACGTTCCGTTACCCTTTTTATATAGAATAGGGTGACAAACGAGCAAACATTCCACCTGATGGTAAGTGGATGCTGTGGCCTATACACATCTACATTTATATCCTCGACTAAGAATGAAAATGCAAATGCGTAGTCACCCGTGAGGACTTAGATAAATTGCTTCATTTCCAGTAAAAAGGGTCTTAGACACTCCGTACACTCCATACAAAACACAGTAGCATAGAGCTGCTATTTTACGTTGGTATTCTGTGAGAGCGTGGTCCTACCCCTGTCGAGCCGATCCATTCGTGCTCCTTTTAAAACTTTAATGAATTATAAACTGTGATGGGAATTCGTCTACCGTGATTCGTAATATATTTTTTTAAATTCAACACTGTATTGGTACACAACTTATAAACAAATGAAATTTAAACATAAGTAAATTTCTTCTAATTAAAACATATAAACTCTTCTAATTACAACAATATTGAACAATAACAAAATGTAATTAAAAAAAATCTTACTTCTTATTTGTATTGTGATGTATTACGTCAACTGTGCTGTCAAATTTTTCTATTACGTTTAGTGTGGTCTCTTTTAAACCGAAATCAAGTGATTCTGCTGCAAAATAGTTCTATATTAGTTCAAAAAAAAACGATACGGTATATATAATACACTAAAGCAACATAATAGTACCTGTACTAGTCGTAGGAACAGATCTTTTGAGCCAATCGTTCACACTGGAAATACTTGAACAGCTGTCGCATGTTTCCTGAGTATCTTTGACCTCGACTTTTCGTTTTTTACAATCTCGAGTTGTCGCAGATTTTCTTTTTACTGCAACTCTCGATGTGTTAATTTTCGTGGACGTGCTCTTATTGGAATGTTGACACGACTCTATAACATCATGGACTGCTGACGAACTCCCTAAGCAGTCATTTTTATTTTCTAGTGAATTTTCTAAACTTTCATTAACTGACTTAGTAGATTTACATTTAACTGTAGTTTTCGTAGACATAGAAGAGGAGCCAGCAGTATGGTAAATAGATTTTTCTAAATGTATTTCTGTATTTCCTGATATGTTTTTTATTTCATTACTTGAATTTATTTTATTTTGGTTAGTGTCGATGCTTAATTTTTTATTTAATTCCTTTTGAATCATAAATTTATTACTTTTTTCAGTTTCCTTAATAGGCGACTCTTTTTCTGGAGATGATTTGGATGCTGGCGCTAAACATTTAGATACTTGATTTAACTCATCTGTAATATTAAACATATATGAACAGCTATTCCGCTCATTATTATCATCAATTTTGTCCACGTCAGGCAGCAAATTTTGGGTTATATTTAATTCACATCCTTTTGTATAAAATATTTCTTCGTATATATCTTTTATGTTTTTTGTCGCATTAGATAGGAGTGAATCATTATCATCACGGTGTGGTTTCATCTTTTCTATGATTAATTCGGGTAGTGGACTTTCAGTTCCCTCGCTCGTGTCATTTGATAAAGTTGCTTTTTTAACTTCGTTTGAATGTTTTTCTTTATGCAATGAAGGTACCTCGCCTTCAAAATTTTCTATCATTTTTACTTCATCATCCGTAATTGCTTCCAGTTTACGTTTTATTGCCAATTTGGGTGGAGGTTCCATATTAACTTTACTTTCTAGAGGTTTTCGAATTTCGAGCGATGTGTTTAATATGTCTACAGCAAGTTCATCAATAAGTTGCTGCGTAGACATTTCAAATGTAATAATCGATTTCGGGCGATTGTTTCTTTTTCGCTTGACATTAGCCTTATCTTTTATTTCATCTTTAATAACCGGGGTAACACTGCCGCCTGAAGTTATATTATTTCGTTTGAGCGTACTTAGTCTAAAATCATCTTCTTCACTATCGCTAGTAAAATTATAAATTGAAACGTCATTTGTTTTATCAACTAAAATTATTTTTTCATTGTTATTGCTAATATGTTTTAGTTTATCAAACAAATCATTCATTTTCTTTGTATGTAGTGACAGAACTAATTTTTTGGATTTTTTGTTTCGCGATTTTTGTTTATATTCTTTGCGCTCATTGTCTTTTTCTTTATGGCACGTTATTTTAAAATTTTTGTTAGAGACAGCTTCGCTCACAATTTCGCAATCACTGGTCCAGTTATCATTACACTTTTCTTCTTCTGTTGAATATAATTTACGTTTTCTTCGTATTAGAGGCGTATTCGTTTTATTATCTGTAAGGTCTTTAAGTTTTATATATGTCTTGATATCCGGCTCAGAGAAATTTTCGTTATATTCAGTTACTGCATTTTTATCTCTGTCAAATGGACGTGTTGCCTTCTTTGAGGTTTTAGATTTTAACCTAATACCCTTTACTGGCTTAGTGTTATTTTCTTTAGAAGTCGAATACCCAAGATCATACTTTTGTGAATTCAAGGTATCAGTATTGTTAAGCTTATTTTCTTCGTAAGTTATTTCTAAATTTTTGTTTAGATTACACTTATCAAGTTCATTACAGATTTTGTCTATCCCCTCAACGACTTCTAAATCAGGCATTAGTTGTCGATTTGTAGTCATCTTTCTCAATGCAACAACTACTTCTTTCTTCACTATTTTCAAAACTAGTCTCGTTTATTTTCTTTGCCAATGCTGGACAATTGTGGTCTAGTGCATAAAATTACGGGTTCTTTATCGTAATTGTACCGCCGCACCGCACCGCACCGCAAATTTTTGTGTTCGTGTAGCTGTAAAGTAATTTTCAAAAATACCATTTTTGTTAGTGTTTAATACTATATTGTGATGTAAGATATAAGTGGTAAGAGCAAAATGTGTTAAAGTAGTATTTTAGAGTCAGCAAAAACTCTTTTTTTCTATGAATTTAGTGCAAATTTATTTTGATTATAACTACTTTTATGGATTTTTGACTTTGACTGGGATCATATAATTAATAAAATTAAAACTAAACCGAAGCATACCACTGCAAGACTTCAAAACACAGTTAGTTCATTCTGCGTGGATCGGACCAAAGACAATAATTAAAAAGCTGAAGGTACTCCGGGTTAACTTTGACATCGGGACGTCAGTCAACTCAGTCCCCGTGACCATGGGTGCTGGAAAGCACCAGAAACGTCGGGTATTAAAAATAAAAATAAATAAAACGCGATAAATTCCGTAAAAGTAGTTTTAATCAATGTATAGTGTTCGCGTAAATATAAGAAATCATTATGCAAATTTATTTATTTATTGATTCCTTATTGCATTCATTAAATCAAAAGAATACAAAGGGTAGACCTAATGCCTTGAGGCATTTTCTACCAGTCAACCCATTGACTGGTGAGAATTTGACGTAGGTGTAGCTTAACAACGCATAACATATTTAGTGCTGCATTAAAAATGGACACTCAAACAGAAAATCGATACAATAACGGCTTAACTTTAAGACGACACATCGAAAAGGCTATCGCCGTACTGATCCGAGTGAATACATAATTTCTATAAAAACTTGTAAAAACGCCGACATAAGGTATAAATTGCGTAGCGCCCGCGATGATTAAAAGCGCTTATAAATTGTCACAATCTTAAAATATTTTTTTAAAAATTATTGATTTAAGTAATCAAAATAATGAGCAAGTAAATTACGGATATTGATGTTATGAATATATTTGAGTGATTCCCAAGCATATAGATTAAGTAATTTCGTTGTAATTTCAACTATAGTGATTTTTTAGAGGTGTTTTCGAAAATAATTATGATCGAGTCAAAATTATACAATCGTATTTTTGAACAATCAAATTGAAGATAAAGACATGAATTTACCTATATCAAAATTCCACTTTCGTTAGTGGTGTTATAGTCTTATACTATTCGATGAAAGGAGGTGCATTTTTTCACGGTGTCGCCTTAAGCGAGTATTGTTTTCGTAAATATTAAAAATTTGTAATGGACTACGCAAATTTTAGTATACATATAATTTATTAATATGTATATATTAACAAATTTATATTATTATTTATTTAATTATTTTATTTTTCTTTCCTTTAATATTCTTCTTTCGTATAAATATAAAATATTTTAAGTTAAAATAGCGTAATAAGGTATCTTGTTAATAATTATCATTTGTAAATATGGGAAATAAAGTGAAACCCGTTACGAAGAGTAAAAAACGTTCATATAAATCAAACGCCCAACATACGAATATTAAAAGGTAATTACATGTTATTATTACACATGGGACAGGTACTCGGCAGATTCGGCCTTTTTTTAGGGTTCGTCTCAACACCGAGTATTAACGGCCGAGTACCGAGTACTCGGCCTTAATTATATTCCAGAGACAAAAAGCCTCTAAATCATTGTATTGGACACATTAAAATATCAGAAACACGAGAAACAGCAGAAAGTACATAAGAATCTATAATAGATATTATTATTACTAATATTTAAAATTTAAGAGAGGAAGATTGTGATGCAAAAACACTAGTTTTTCGGCCCTATTTGGGTCTAGATTAACTAAACTGTACTGGCGGGTGTTGATAAGTATTGAGCCGCAACTTTTCCCAAAATGGGGTAATAGCCTTCATTAGAAACCCACCATTTATATGGATCTGCATCTCTTGCGGCCCTTGGTACGCTTAAGTAATGATCTAACTCTGCTGCAGCGGAATTCTTCATGCTTTTTTCTTCAGAAGCATGTTTTGAATGAATTTTTTTATGTGTTTCCTAAGATCAATAATTTTTCTAGATGTTTTTCGATAACACGATTTCTATAAGCAGTCATTTACGCGCCAAATAACGAAAACATTCTCTCGAATTGAGTTGTTTGACAAGTAATCAGTAATCACTCGCCGAGTACTCGGCGAATCACTACTCGTTCCATGTCTAGTTATTATTACTAAATATTTATTTTTATAACAATATACCCATGAATTTTAGAAACATAGTTTATTATAGTAGTATATTTAGTAGAGATACCTATGGATTTGCTTTTTAAACTCGAGAGTGCCCGGGTTCGATTCCAGGAATATGAAATCAAATTTTATTATTTGCAGTTCTGTGGGTCACAAGTTAATATTATATATTTAGATAAATTAACTAAATATTTTTAAAATAAATTAAAAAAAAACTAAATGTTTACTTCTCCATAAATATTCTTCTTTCCTAGAAGTCGATGTTTTTTGTATCTTTATATATTTAGTTTAATTTATTAGGTGATTTTATAAATAAATTTAAAAAAATTGAAACGTAACTATTTTTTTAAATCTATGAATTTTAGAAACGCCTATTACCACAGAAATCTTAAAATAATAAGGCAAGTGCCTCATTATTTAGATTTCTGTGCTTATTACAATAGTGTATTTGATAGAGGAATGGATTTGCAGTTTGCACTCGGATTCGATTCCAGGAATATGAAGTCATATATCCTTTCTTCTTTTTTATATATTTAGGTAAATTTATTAAATAATTTTATAAATAAATAAAAAGTAGGGTTTGAAATGTAATTATTTTTTACAGCAGAAAGATCGGAAGTTATTCCTAATGCGTAAGTACCTACAACTTTTCTAAGCTATAATAATAATGAAAAAAAAAAACTAAAAATACCTAATGTTTTTGTTAAAAGACCGCGGCTTAAAGATAATAAACATGACGGAATAACAGAATCATCTGAAAATTGTAATGTGACTTATCACAAGGAAGAGTTTAGTTCTATTAATTTTGTTTATATAGGAAATAGGAATTATAACTTTGTATGAATGTTAGGTCTTTTACTTGTAACGAACAATTTTTCGAAGTCAAATAATAAATAAAAAAGGCAAAAATAAACGATATGCAAAATTATTAATTAATGAACGCCATCTAACGACAGTGTGGTTGTGTAAATGTTCGAGTTCACTTGACTCTTGTAGCATTTTACTTTACAACTGTACTCGTCCGTTTAAGGGGAAATATAATCTCAAATGGCTTAGCAAGATCCTTCGTTATGCCTAAAACATTGCAGCATTAATTTTGAAATAAATATATGGTAAAGTTGAGGATTAATGTTAATGATTATGTTAGACGAAAACACGATTTCGTAAAATTTTCTCGATAGAAAAAAATCCAAAGTTACCTCCAAAATAAACAATAAACCGCTGTTATTCATAAAATACTTTAAATAAGATCATGAAACTTTGCATACTAACTGAACTAACTATAAAGCAGTACTTATGTTATTTACTTTTTTTAAAATACCATTATTTTCACTGTAAAAAGAAATTACCTAAACTATCAGCGTCTTGAGCTTGATTCCAGTCGCCCCGTTAGTATCGCTTAGGCTTTTGAAGGGAGAAGTTGTGTCGCTTACGATCAGAATATACATTACGCAACAGTACGACGTAAAATTAAAATGGGAAATAACCGTGATAAAAATAAGAAGCGGCTGGCTTGGCGTTAAGAAACAGGCATAAATATGATAAACCTAATGAAATAAGCGTCTAACGACCTTTCTACTTACAGTATTAGTGATTACAAACATGTCGGTACATAGCATACGACGCGCGGGAAAGTGGGGGCGAAATTAGAATTTGAGCTGACTTACTCTATCCTCTTAATATGTATTGCTAAACAGACGTTTGTATTCATAGTCATTTGTATGTACTAATTATGTATGTATTTAAATATTGGTATGTATATGCACACATTTATAAATTTGTATATATGTATTAATAGGTTATATATGTATCTAAAGTTTATTTACTTATTCGTAGTATGTATACATTATGTAATTAATTATAATTTGTATTGTGTTCTTTTATTCTATATTGCCACACCTACGTCAAATTCTCGACACACCATGGGTTGGCTGGTAGAGAATGCCTCAAGGCATTAAGTCCTTTGATTATTTTGTTTTAAGAATGCAATAAAGAATAAATAAAAAAATAAAAAATGTAAAAAATTGAGACGATTTTTGTTTAATTACTGAAGTAAATTACATGGGCATTTTTCAAAAAAAAATGTTTATTACGAAATTGTAGTGTCCACTCTCTTTGACAATACATTGCTTAATAGATATAGCAACAATAATAGTAAAATATTTTTATTCTACTAAATTACTTATTTAAATTTTTATTTTATACAATAACTAATAACAATTTAAATTGAATAAAAAATGAAACGACAAAAAGCATTGATACAAACACACAATTTGTGTGATTGTCTATGTCCACCACAAACCATGCTCATTTCAAAGTTCGATTAATAAGACGAAATCATTTTTATAATTAATTAATTACCTATCATTAAAAAATAAGAAGTTGTTGCATGGAGTCTTCAATTTATTATAATTATTTGTCGAAATGCTATTTATAGCTATCATCAACCAATAATTAGAAAGATACAATTTCGATATATTCATATTGTTTTATAAAATCAATACTAGGAATAATTTAAGGTAGCACTTCGTTACGTCCACTAAGTAACTTTATGTGTGATCGGAATGAGATTGTTACTTAATAGAACTGTGAAGGTGTGTTCAGCATTGTGTTGTTGACTATTATGATAAATAATATCTTACAGTACAAGGAAAGCTTAAATCTCTAGTAATA